GTTTTTTTTTTTTTTTGGGTTGTTCTCCCGCCCTGGCGGGGGGTCGGGCTAGAAGATCTATTAGGTCCCTTCCGACCCTGAAACTATGAAACTATGAACATGGAGGAAGAACCCATGGTTAAGGATTAGTGCATGGGTAGAGTGGTGTGAAAGGAGAACAGAGATGCCAAGTAGAAGAATGATTTGATTTCAAAGAAGATGGTCAGGAGGGAGGGAAAGCAGGGAGGTTAGGATCAGGCAGCAGAGAACCAGTGACAAACAAACAGTCAAACTATCATGGATACTCCTTCACTGAATGGCTCTATTCATTTACCCTGACATGTGTAGTTGTCACCTTAAATATTTATGGTGGTATTTCATGTTACAGTAGTCAACATGCTGCAGTTTATTTTGGAAATCCAAAGAAATCTTAATAAGACATGAGCAGACTGTCATTTTCATAGCATAGGTTTGTGCTGGGGATCAGAGCTATATCACAAGGCTTCCTGCAAGAATGATAAGTAGTGGGAATCAGTGGGGAGTTCTGAATTCACTAAGCATGCTGCATATGTCCATAACAGTCACATAATGCATTTAAAAGAGAAAATGCACAAATAAAAGACATTCTGAAACATAAGCCTTTCTAAGGGGATGATTTCTGAGCAACAATATTTTGTATTACAGCTGGGCAGGAAAGACATTTTCTGTCCTCTGATTTTTTTTTCTTCATTAGAAACTTGTCCTAAATCAGTATAAAAAGTGAAAAGACTCAATGTTGTTCATGAGCCAGAAATTAAAAAAAAAAGTTTCGGAAACACTGAAAATGTCCTTGCTGCTCAGGCCTGCCACCTTCCCAGCAGCCCATCTGGTGGGCTGGTGGGTTATCTGGGCATAACGGCTCCCTGGCTTCTCAGTTGGGAACCTGCCCAGAGAAGCAGGGAACTGGCCAACTGGCAAGCCGGCAAGCTCAGGGAGCCGGCAAACAAAGACAGACATCCTGCCAGGTGGACAGCCAGGGATCTGGGTAACCCACAGGTCCAGGAGCTGCAGAGCCAGGAAAGAGAGACGGTCAGGAACCAGCACACCCGGTTTCTGTTGGATGTTTCAATGCAATCCATGTGGTCCTGTTGAGAACTGTCCAGTGGAAAATTCCAGCAGAAAAATTTCAACCCACTCTGCATTGTACGTATGTCATATACTACTTTTGCTTAATAACCTTCTTGCACTTTTCTGTCTGCTTTTTATCTATGTGGGAAACAAGCCACCGAGAGATTCACTAACTGGACCAAGTAGTGCTATAACTAGAGTGGGACAACCAAGACGAGCGCCCTGGGCACTGACTTGGGACGGGGAGAGGGGGGCAGGAGGGCATAGTGAGAAGTTAGAAGCACTGTGACACTGCTCTGTGTCCCGGGCACCCAGATGCCCAGCCACATTGCTACACCACTAAGATCAAGGCCCAGGAACAAGGCAGTAGCTGAACAGAAAACTGACATCATAACCAGACTGCCCACTCTCCAAAGTCTGAAAGCTCCCACTGCCTTCCTTAGAGCTAGGATTTCACCTTTTAATGCCCAAATCCTGCTCCAGTCTACAACAGACAATTTAATACATACGTAAAGAGAGACAAACCTATGAACTTACTTGACTACTAATGTATTGTCTGAAAGCCAGAGAGAATCCAAATATTACCTGAAAAGCTTATTTAAGAAATCTTAAATTAATGTACATGTTAAAATCCTCTGCTTTCCCCCCAAATTTATTTTTCACGTGTTAGTTTTTATTTTACCTAAGCAATATTTGCAGGCAAAGAAACAATTAAATCTTATCTATATCCCAATAGACAGACTCAGCCACAAACAGAGGCCTTTCAGAGGAATGTGTAAATTAAATCTCTAACTAAGGCACTATCAAAGATCTACAGAAGGGGGGGAAGCAATCTATAACTCTCAGGCAGTCCTTTCAAGCCCTGCCTCATGCAGTCAGGAGCATACATTTATCACTTGTGCAGAACTGTATCAAGGGTTTGTCCTTTTGATAAAATGTCTGACTTTGTTACCTTGATATTATGTCTGGCAGCTTCTTCTCAATGAATTCCAGCATGCACTCATGCTCTGTTGAATTCTCAAGGAACAGACGGAAAGATTCAACATATCGGCTATGGTTTGAGATCAAGCTCCTCATGGAAGATGCCATGTTTGGTTTTCTAAGGAATGCAAAAAAACAGAGTTTTTCTCCTTCTGTTTTTTTCACTTCAGCCCTAGGAAAGGAAGAAAAAAAAATTAAAACCACAGACTAAAAGATCCTCACATTTAAAACTGCTTCAATATCAGATGCCGGAACTGTATCTAGTCTGAACACTGAAAAGTACTTGTATAATCACTATATCTACATTATTGCTGGACTTTGTTCCGTGACCTTGGCCCATTGTTTTAGATTAGAAACATAGCTGTAAAAGGACCTTCTTTTATCTAAAAAGAATGACATGAAAGACACTACCTTCAGGTTTGAAAGACAAACAGCAATAGATCACATATAAACTCCACGAACAAAACATTAGCATTTCATCAGTGATGGAACAGGACCCAGTTACGATCTAGGAAGCACCCTGAAGTTTTTTCTACATGAAACTTTAAAAACACCCCGGTATTTCCTAAATGGAAAGAATCTGCTTTGAACCAAAGGGAAGTGAGGTACAAATTCTCGGAGAAGCTCAGCACTGCTTATTTTTTGTTTTCAGCCGGATGGTGTTTTAAAGAGGACTCAGAGCAGTAGATGGAAGGGTGGATGCCATAACATTTTGGTAAAAAAGTAAATTATATAGCACCTTTTTCCTGAGGAGATCAAAATACTTCCCAAGCATTCATCAGTTAAGTGTCACAAAAGCCATGTTAAACCCTTAGCAAAGGCAGGAGCTGGAACTCCAGTTCACAAGTAGGGAAAATTGGCACAGAGCAGGTAAAATAAATGAAATGGAAAGATCATGTAGGGTCAGCGGAAAAAGCTCAGACCTGAAAACAGACTCCTGAACCTTGTTTCTATACTGTAGCAGAAGACACTTCTCTTCCCCACATCTGCTCCTGTGCGTGGTGGCGGAAGATCGTGGCAAAGCAAAACAACCCTGCAGGAAGTAGATGGATGTGTTATGCCTCTGAACAAATGGAACTGAATAGGTGCTTTGATCCCTCTTTTCACAGCTGCCTAGCAGCCCTTTTCTCTATTATTCCTGTATGGACTCATTTGCCTTAATTTCATTTAAACCCTTTTCCAAATCCTTGAGCTAAATTGCCCCTAAAGGGAACGGTTAAAGAGAGTCAAAGCAGTTGCCTACCTTTCTGTCCGATGAGCTCTGGAATGGGAGCAGCTCGCTGAGTGCACGGTACTTCCTGGACTTGGTTGCCATGCAACCATCATAGCAGCCCGTGGGCTCTGTCTCTGCTCAGTTATCTCCTTTGAGCACACAGGAGGAGAAATATCAAATGCAGGGTTTCAGCTGGGTGCTTCCTCTCGGGTGTTGGGCCTTTGTGTCTGCACAGCGTTAGCTGGATTTGCATTCTTGGGTGAATGTTAGTTTGATAAAGGCAAAGGGACTCTGCTGATGAATTGCTGTGCAACTGCAGTGTCTTTTGTTTTCAGTGCACTGCACCCCTACATTTCCCAGAACTGGCTGTATGAGTTACTTTGTTCAGGGGCCTGGCCAGGTTACACATTTATGCCTGTGCAACTGCCTCACACTGGTCCAAAAGGTAGGATACCAACAGTGCAAATCCCTAACCCGGGTAACTTTGCTCACTTCTGTGTAAGTTGCACCAGGTTCAGAATTCACTCCAAATGCCCAGGGCAGCCCTTTGCTAAGCAAACAGGTATCACCTGATCCATAATGATACAGTAATAACTGTCCAATGTGTGCATCTACCCTAGGGTATCACATTGTGGTATGCCTATTCATGATTCTGGTGTAATAGAAAAAACAAGCATAAATTATACTGGAGCATGTGTCCATCTGTCCAAGCCCACGGTTGTTACAACACATCACAAAAAGCTATGAGACTTGCCCAGAGAATGTCTACTGGACTGCTCCCAAAGAGATGCTTTCATGTACATGAGAAAACTGCTACTACTACTTGGCATCCTATCCCACCCTGCTCTGTACTGTCACGGAAAATAATTCAGCAGGGTTCATCAAAAAAAGCACACTCCTCCACTCCCTTCTTCTAGCTTGCTGGGCTGGCATCCCGTGGAGAACTTCAGGGTGGTTTTCAGAGGTTCAGGGACTGGTAGAGTAGGTTACAAAATCCTCAATCCACGGCCCAGTTGGGATACACTGACCAGTGTCCCTTCACTCCGAGACACAAAGGATAAAAGACGAATGGAAAGCCCACATCTTGTTTGTGGGTGACACTTACTGGTGCTAATGGTGACACTACACATGAACTCTCTCACTCCCACCGCCCACCACCAGAGCAGCAGGAGACTTTCTCCCCGTTATTCCCTCTCCTTAGCATTTGTCACACAGCTCTCTCAGATCTTATTCCCTGCATGTTTCTAAGCCATCATCAGGAGCACAAGCCAGGTTTTAATATGTGTAGGCTGTTCTTGCCAAGCTAAATACTCACTCCATCTGTACACTAGCAACTGTGGGCTTTTTTGTTGTTTTTTGCTTGTTTTGTTTTTTTTTAAATAGCCAAAGACTCTGCGGTCACATAAACTAGGAGGTCTCTTTTGGTTCCACTATACTGGTGTTTGTTATCGTGTTATTGCTGCTGCGTGGATGATGTAAAAATAGCTCGGTAGTCTTATTCTCACTCCCAACAGACAGTAATCTATGCAGTGCCATAGCAAGGGGGGCGAGTGGGGCGACTGCCGTGGGCGCTGAAGTGACGGGGCGCCAAAAGGCACTGCCCAGCTGGGGCAGGGCATGGGACAGAGCCGCAAGCAGATCATTTGGTGGGCATGGGGGCTGGGGGTGGGTGGCTCCTGCCGCTTTGTGCACTCCTGGGCAAGCATGGGGTCGGGGGTGTCCCCTGGATCTGTGTGCAGGGCGAGAGCAGGCTGCCACTTTGGGCTTTGCCCTGGGTGCCAAATTTCCTTGTCATGGTGCCGAATCTATGCTATGGAAACCAGCACTATGGCTGGCACTAACTGGCAATTTTGTTGGTAGTCCCAACAAACAAGGCGTGGAGAAAGCATGGCCGATCTCCTTGGTCACCTGTATGCAATAGAAGTGTAAAGTGCTACCAACCAGAATAGGCATTGCTGTAATGGTTTCCATGCAGTGGAGTCTTATGGTATACTTGCTCTTTTTAAAATCAATGCTTGGCACACAACTGATGTATATCAACCCCCAAACAATCAGTTAAGGTTCTTAAACTGTTATGTTCCAGCAGGTTTATCATCTCCAGGGGCTCAAAAAACACCCTGACCTGGAGACTCCAAGGCAACTAATACTAATAAGCAGAGAAGGTTCTAGGCTGATTAGGTCACATCATTTCAGTTATCAAAAATTGCATTCCCGGAGGTAATTCCTTATAATATGTCCAAAAGGAGACTCTGAATTATCAAGGGATAGTATTCAAGATGCCTCTTTGTTCCTCCACCAGAGATAATTCTATATCCCACAGGTCCCCTGATTATGGGTCGGCTTTTTAGTAAGAGAGCCCTTATGTAGTTTTTTATGCACTGAAGTGTTGCAAGGAGAAACACAGAACTATATAAAAGTAGGACTGGGAGGGATTTTTGAAAGGTCACCTAGTCCAATTCCCTAAATTTAGTCAGGATCATCCCTCCCCAAAACATCCCATACAAATCCATTGTCTAACCTTGTAGCAAAACCGCACAGTCCACCCTGGCACAACACAAGAAATAACACTCAAGTCTGCCACAGGTAAAGCAGAGGAATCATGGTATCCAACATCCTGCTGATGCACATGTTGTTAAAAATACGCTCAAGAGATCCCAGGAAAAAAGTAGAGGGAGAGGTGCTAGAGAGGAAAGCAAAAACCTCCACAATAAATACCAAGCTGACCAAGGGTTAAAATTCCTTCCTGACCCCAAATATGGCGATCGGTCTGACCCTGAGAGGAGGGGTAAAACCCTTTAGCCAGGAACCTCTGTATTTAAGTCCCAGCAGGAGCAATGGTACACCCCAATTAAAATCCCCAGCCTTGGCTGCAACCAACACCCAATGCCTCTGAGGAAGGTTTAAAAAAAACCCAAACCCAGACACACGTAGCAGCAGGAGAGGGAAAAAAATTCCTTCCAGGCCTTGTGCAGCAACCAGCAAAGTTCATAAGCATGGAAAGTACCCATAGTACCTAGATCATCTCTGAACAATGCTTGTCCAACCTCCTCTTGGACACCTTCAAGGATGGAGATTCCACAACTTCCCTTGGTCTGTTCTGCTATCTCACTTTTCTAACAGTGAAGAAGTTGTCCTGATATCCAATCTAAACCTACTTTGCTGCAACTTCAAGCCAATGGCCTGGGGTGGGGGACACTGCACATGTGTCTGTGAGCACTGGTTAACACTGGTCCAGGCCCTGCACTCCTGCCAGCCCTGGCCTCAGGCCCTGTGCTCCTGCTGCCCTGGTCCTGGGCACTGGTCCGGACCCTGCACTCACAGCCCCTGCCCGCCCCTTCTCACTGCTGCTGCTCCCCCACCCTGCCTGCTGGTCACTCCAGTACCCCATGCTAAAGCAGACCCCGGGCTCCTGCCACCCTACCCTGGGCCCTGCCAGCCTGGGCTCCACACTCACTCTGCCCCCCACCTGCCCCTTCTTGCCACGGCCGCCACTCCTTTCCACCTGCTCCAACACGTGGTGCTGGAGCAGATCCCAGGCTACTGCCACCCCACACTGGACCCCCGCTGGCTGCCACTCACCGCTTCACTTGACACCACTGCTGCTGTCACCGCTGCTTCTCCCCACCCCCACGCTGATCGTTATAATGAAGCGCACTGAGCGCTAAGTGAAACCAGGTAGGTATTTTAAATGAGTGCTATAGCGACACTGCATTAAGCAGGAGTTGCCTGTATCAGGGATCCTTGTTTTCTCTGTTTAAAAATTCTCTGATTAAAACCCGCCAAATCCATGTTTTTCCATGATTAAACTGAAACACCACTATGTATAAAGATATCAGTTGAATACAATGTTTTATTGATATATTTACAATTTTAAAACAATTTGGAAGCCTACCAGTGCTTCAATTACTATAATAAAATAAATTCTAAATGCCTATAAACGTTGGTGTTTGATTTTGTGTTTTTTTTATAATGGAAAATCAGAGCTCCCCCTGCCCCTTTTGCTCACCAGGATGCAGGTCCAGACGTAGCTGTCACCTCATATGCCAGTGCCCTGCCCATGCCATTGCCCTTCATTCCCAAGCCACGGCCCCCCAACCCTGCTGGGGCCCCTACTTCTAACCCACCAACCCCCGGTCCTTGTGATGCCCCTTACTCCCCACGCACAGCGTCCCACCCCCTCCAGCCCCCTGCCCCCTCAACAGCGCCCAAGCCCCATGGGAGGTGGCAGCTGCTGCAGTGGAGTGAAGCGTGAAGCCTGGCTCCCTCTGCCCCATGGGCAGCACAGCTGGAGCAGAGTCCGTGGAGGGGGGATGAGAGATGCCCATTGCAGGCTCAGGGCTCCCCACCCTGTTGCCCTGCTCCTGGGGACCTCTGTGTCCCAGCAGGTAGGACCTGGTGTGGCAGGGCAGGGCAGGGTGGGGAGGCTTGGTGCCACCACCAAGAGCCCCACGCCACCATTGTGAGACACCCCGTCTGCCTGGCAGCAGTGGGAATGGTGGCACATGGCCACCATTGTCTGATTGCCCTCCTCCCACTCCCCACAGCCCCTTGCAGACTGGAACTCTGCCAGCCTGCAAGGAGGAACCTGCCATTTCCTGCGTTTTTCTCCTTAAAAAGTGACCATCTGGGTTTTTCTCCTTAAAATGAGAAAATCTGAACGAACTGCTTCAAAGGCTACACTTTTTCCAGGTCCCTCAAGAATCTTACTTCATCATCCACTCATGGCAAACCATCCCCCTGGCTGTCACAGAGCCTTCTCGCTCACGCTGTGTCACATTTGTTACGGCATTTTTACACTTACTTTTCACTCCCTTCACTACACAAAGTGAAAAGTAGTACAGAGTCAGGGTTAGCATTTCCAAAAGTACCCTCCCAGCACATGTCACAGTAATTAAAGTCCCCCATGAGAACCAGATCTTATGAATGGTGTCAGTGGTGTAAAACCTGAGCTAGCTCCCCATCCTTTACATTTTCAACATGTCTATTTTAGTAAAGAACTGTGGGTCAGATTCTGATCTTGCGGGGGGGGGGGGGAGGGGGAATCAAATGAAATGGACTCATTTTCAGCATGCTTATATATTTGAATCTAACCCTACAAGTAGAAGTTACCTAGAGGCAGTCAAACAGCGTGGCCTATCTCAAATGGGCACTTATTTTTCAAGTACTCTAAAAGCGCTCAAAGAGAAAAATATTAAATAAGTACATGGAGATTGTGGAGCCTTCCTAACCCTGATGAACACCTACTCAAGCCAGTAGTGTCACTGAAGCTGAAAGGACTAATCACATGAATAGGAGACCCAAAATCTTCCCCTACAATAAAGGCCCAGGCAGCTGCAAAGCACCCAGGCACTGCTTGTTGTTGCTAGGGGTTGTTTTAATGAGCCTGTTTTTGTTAGATAAGAGCAGTAATCTTGCCTATGTATTAGAAAGACAGACTAACAAATTGCAGCTAAATTGACTCTATTATATGAATTACCATCGCTCAAGCTAACAATTCACTATCTATTTTGTGCAGTCAAGTGAAATTTGTGGTGACTACAGACAGAATAAAATGCAGTTTTGCATTAGGCAGTATTAAAACTGTGCATGCTGCCACATACCTGGAACTACAAACACATAAATCCTTGGATCTTTCACTGAGAGTTGTGCTCTTTTTCAGGTGATCAGCATTCAAGTCCTTCGGGAGCACCTGCACGAGGGGTGAAAATGGCCAATTATATTTTTGCCAGGTAGAGTAAGAAAGCAGAAGAGAATATACATGGGTTATGAGCACATACTCTATCTCCCCCATTGGAGAGTGGTACATTCCATGTTTACCCATTCCTTTAGTTCAGATGCAGTGGGGGAAGCTCGTACCATCTGGCATGAAAACATTTTTCAAACCCCAATCTTTTAACAAATATTTCATAGTTAATCCTTTTACAGTTTTGAGGATCTAGATAGTCAAAAAGTGTTCGTATAATAGCCTTCACACTTGTTGTGATTTAATTTCCATGTTTATTTTGTTGTAGATAAGAACGGATGAGATCGTTAACATTTCAGGCAGCTTCAGGAATTCATCTTGGTCATTTGATTTTGTTTCATTGCAGCTTGGCCTGCAATCAGTTTGTTCAGAAATCGGAGAGGGGGCGGGGAATAATTCCGAAAAAAAGCCCCTAAGAACGTGTCTGACAGTTTCTCTCATTTGGACAAGTTGCCCTGCAGAACAAATCAACTTACCCATACTAAGCATTTTTTTACCAACTCTAGGCCTGATTTTGCTTTTACACCACAGTAACTATAGTTACTCTGGATCAGTGCTGTCTGGTATCAGAATAAACCCTGGTTGAACGGCATATCAAAATCATTTACGTTCTGTGAATTAAATCAGAAAGGAAAGTGAGCATTCTTGAAATGTTTGTAAACAGATTGCAAAAGGGAAGTGCATGCTGCTACACTAGTATTTGTTGTTGCTAAACGCTAGCAAGATACAGAAGCCATTAGCTTTTCCTTCTAAGAAATCGAGAGAAAGATATTTTAAGCCTGAACTTATCCTGAAAGCATTCATACTTACATGTATACCATCTGGGCTTTACGGGGCCAGCTGGTTTCAGTTTCTGGGAGTGTTGCTACAGGAGGCAGGAAGTGGACTCTGTGAAATCAGACACTTTTTTTTAAAAAGATTTTATCTCCACCCACAAAGAGTCAAGCATTTTGGCATACAGATAGTATAGTATTCTCCTTCAAGAATAAAATAAGAGATACTGCAACCCTTAATGTGGCTTACCACAGAAATCCAAACTCTGCTCTCAGTTTCAATGGTGCAAAAACAGAGTAGACCTTATGTATAGGATTAGGGTGTAATGAAGAACAGGATTTGGCCCCTAGATTTTAAACAGGAACTTCATGAAGAGTGCTAATTTTGGTAAAAGGCCACATCTTGCTTTTCAAAGAGAATACTGGGTTTTCTTTGGGTTGAAGAAAATGTTATTCTTACTTTTCATAGAAATCATAGAGAACTAGGGCTGGAAGGGACCTCCAAAGGTTAGCCCTGTGCCTGAGGCAGGATCATCCCTGTCCAAACCATCCTATACAAATCCATAATCTAACCTCTTAGTAAAACTATCGTCTACCCTGACATAACACAATATAACACCCCAGCCTGCCACAGGTAAAGCAAGAGGACCATGGCAGCCAACATCCTATAAAAAGGTTTTTAATATACACCAAAGAGATGTTATCACACGAAAGAGCCCTGGAATTTCTTGTGATTCCATCATCAGAGCTGTAGTCAGAATTTGGTTTCAACAGGAGTCTGCCTGAATAGTATCTGGTAAAAAACAAGCAAGGCTATCAGATTTGGAGCGATGACAAGTGTTTAGAAACTTCATAGGCTCAACACTCTTGAAGAGAACTTGGTGTGCTTCTCTATCCACTTCTTTAATTTTGTTGTTGTAACACTTTATCTAGAAAACTACCCAAAACACAACCCCCTGCCCCCCTCCACCAGTAAATTCAATGGGAGGATGCTGGTGCTGAAATTGGGATGTAGGCCAGGAGCTGACAGAGCCTGCCTTTTTCTAGTGAGCTGCAACAGAGCTCTAATGTGAACCACCACTTCTGGGGAGAAGGAAGGGGAAGGGAGAAGGACAGTTCGAAAATGTAGATCCAAGCCCAGGTGCAATGTCATCATGCAGCCAACTACACTTTCAAGTGCAAATAGTTTCTACTTACCTTTTTCTAATCCTCTAGGATGTTTTTTTAAATATCAAACTGAATATACTGGGGGCACAGAACCATCACTGGGTCACAGCCACCTGCAGAGACATAGCAAACAGTTTCAAAATCTACACACACAGTATGTAATCCATTGCCTCCTACTGGTTTATACCTGTTATCTCCCAAAACAGACATGGTATTGCACACAATCCGATCACTAACACAGTGGGTTCATTTAGGCATAGAGACAGTGTGTTAATAAAAGCCTGGATGAAAAACAGAAGAAAGATACCAGTTGTGTTGTAAGAAATGTTGTCCCTTGCAAATGAAAATGATTTGCCATGATATTTGCAGCAAATGGTCATAGCCTTGTACTGCATTATTTACATTTTGCTTATATAAATTTATTGCTGCAGCATTGTTTGGTTTCTAATCTTTCTCTCTACTATTTATAGAGCTGACTGGTTATACCCTTTATGGGTACAGTTACAAAGGGGGAACATTTTCAAAACTGCTTAAGTCCCTTTTAAGTCTAACTCTCACAGGCAGTCAATGGAACTCAAGCACTTCTGAAAAAATGCACCCCACGTCCTTTATCACCCTGTATTCAAGTGTTCATAGCCTTACAAAGCATTTTTGTTTTCCATGCTTGAAAGTTTCCATGGCTTGTGTCTTCCTTCTGGAAAGTTCAACCAAAAAAACCTTTTTTGCCACCGGCAAGTTCCCATTGAAAACATGATGATAATAATAGTCACAATGTCTTTAAAGACAAAGTGACAAAGAAAATGGCTATAATTTGCCACTTGATCTGAACTGAGGAAGAGCTAAAGCACGTGCTTGTCTTGGGGGACAGTAATTTTAAAAATCTAAATGTTATAAGGCATGGAACAAATCACTTGCAAGCATGTTCACTGGGTCCTTTCTAGGCACAGCAGACCTTTGTCTGAGGATCAATGAAGATCTCTGTGAGATCACAGCATATTCATCCTTTCTCGTCAGAGAAGTGTGCTGACCATGAATGGATATGGCTAGTACTAAGGAACTTAAGCAAAGGCAAATGATCTTCTACAGTCCATGGGCCAGATCTGGCTGGGGAGCATCAGGGCAGCAGGAGAGAAGTTCAGCAGAAAGGACTGGCAGCAGGGACGGGAGTGGTAGCAGCATTAATTGCTGCTCCCCTGCTACCAAATTTCCTGACCTGTGTGGGTCCCAATGTGCTGGATAACATGGCCCAGAAGGCTAGATTGCACTGGCACATGGCTGGATCTAGGCACGTGGTATCAGGCTAGCATGCTGGATCACACCTGCAGACCGACCCTTTGTGCTAACCCTGCACCATTCTTTCAGCCCACAAAGCTGGAAAGCTGGGTGCCACAGCCACTGCTCTACAGCTTTGTTTTAAATACCAGGGGATAAGGGGGAAGAAAAGATAGGAATGAACAAAATTGCAAATCCCACAATTTTAGGCACTCCTCCATTTTTTTAAGTTCACTCTTATACAATACATCCTTCTGTATGCTGCAAATCTTAACATTTCATTCAAACCATACATTTGGAATGCTGAAATTCATAAAGCACAAGCAATAAGGTGGGCGGGGGGAAGGTAAATGGAAATAAAAATGTTCTCATATAGTAACAAAGGGTGCACAGTTACAATTATAAATAGTGTAGAAATGGCAACTGTGAATGCTTGCAGAGAAAACAATATGCTACATTTTTTCTATGTGTTCATACATCATCCTTTGCAAAGTAGCTTAATTTAATTTTTTAAAGCCACAGTATATTTCACAATGAGCCTGTAGAAATGTAATCAGTTATGGGTGTTTTTGTAAACCCTCTAGTCAGAAAAAGGAAATGAAAGAGCACAGGAGATCAGAAGATTTTCCCAATTGTATCGTCTTTCAGTTCAACTCTGTAATCTTAACATTACTTTATTTGCCATGAACATGCAGTGTATTTGGGTCTCCCAGCAGAAAGTCTTGTATGCCTATTCCCAACTTGCATAATACACCTTTAGCTCTTGGGCCAGCAGTTTTAATTTCATAATAGAAAGATACCCAACTCTTTACCCCGAGTTTCCAACTGGTTTGTAAGAAAATGTCTTTGGTTGCTATTTACATGCATTCCACTTCCTTAATTTTGCGTTTAAATGCCAGACTTCCCCTATCTCTAAGATTTATAGTGTCTCAACTTGAAAGCATAAATCAGCACAGGTGCACAGACTTTTCAAGAAACAGAGTAAATCCTAGGCCTACTGAATCAGTGGTAGTTTTGCCTTTGATTTTAATAGAACCAGTATTTCACTTATAGTGAGATTACAAAGAGACCCTAAACTGGTTCCCCATCATTTATTGCTTCAGAATGAAGCAACATTTCTTAGGGTGGTATATTTTATTGAACCTGTGTAGCTGAGATAAAGTTAGACAAGCTTTTAAATTCATAGACTCATAGAATCATAGAGAAGTAGGACTGGAAAGGACCTCCAGAAGTCATTCAGTCCAGACATCCTTCCTCAGATCTCATATAATTTCTAGACTGTCATGGCTACAACATCACCCTTACACTACCAAACATGTTTTCTACAAGTACTTATTACTCCCACATATAATAAGGAGCCAAATCCTGCCTGCAGCCTCCCTGAAGCAATACCAGTGGAAGTTAGCCATGTTGCACAAGCATAATGAAACAAGAGACTGGCATGTAATTTGGGCCAGAGTCACTGGTACCTCCTTTTTTCACCACTCTGAAAACCTGGCATCACAACAGCCAGGCAACTGAGCCAAAATCTGTAAATGCATCTGGCTATTATTTTTTCCTCTAAAAACATGCCAACAACTAAAGAGTGTTCCAAGTGCCAGATGCTATGTATGGTGGAAACATAGGTTTAGCAAGTGAAAAATAAAAATAAATGCATTTGGTGTTTTGTGTGTCTTTATGTGTAAAAGATGTTCCCACAAATGTTTTTCCTTGATATCCAATGGAGCCAGAGTTTGTACTGCATAAGCCAAATTTTAAATATTTGCTGGGAAGTTGAGGCTCGATTCTGTGCTGTGCCAGGACTACTGGGCTGCTGTGATGAACCCTGTGATAATTTAGAAGGAAATTTAATGAGCAGCCAAAAATTCCCATAGCTTTCAAAGCTACCAGCATGCCTTCTATCCAAAGGCTTGTGAAGGCACTGAAGGGCTTTTTAAAAATTCAGTAACCATTCTTTGAAACAGGGTTGTAGTGACTGGAGCAAAGAAATCGCTGGTTGTACTCATGGTTCTAGTAATGCATAGTTAGACCAGTCAACCTCTGTGCCTTGCTGTTCCTATTTGTAAAATGGGACTAACAGCACAAATTAATTTGCTAATGTTTAGGAATGTTGGGAGGATTGAATGATTAATTTAATCAATGTAGCAAAGTGATTCAGAAATGAAAAGCACTATCTAAATATGAGTATTGTTAACCAAAAGGCTGAAACATACAGGCCATTTGGGATCAACTGGTAGTTACACGTGAAGAAAAGAGAGATCATAAGCATAAAGGTGTGTGATACGGATTTTATCTTGGAATTACAGAGTCCTGAAAAAGCCCACTGGATGCATGCATCAAACTGAAGTGACATTTTGGCTAAGTCTGAGAAACATCCCTTCGGTATGGTAGCTGCAGACTGGAATCACTTCAAAGAAAACAAGGAGCTGGGGGGGACAGGGAAGATGATGGGTTGTTCAGGGTTTGAGCATATTAATAAAGACCAAAAATACAAAGAATGCCAGCCAGACCTGGGGAAACATCATAGGAAGGTGAAGATAATCAAGAGACAGTGTGAGTCCTGAAGGCTTTAGAACAAAGGCCCAACTCTGAGATTTCTAGCTTGTCACCAAACTCAAAGCATTCATAGACGGGCCAAATATCCATGCCCACAGTTTGATCAACTTA